TTTTGTTTTTTTTTTTTTTTTTTGGTTAAATGTGATTGTTTCCCTGATTGGGTGTCGAATAGGCCAAACATTACAAATTCAGTTGAGAACAACACATATATCAGGTGTTTACTATACACCATTTCAATTTTAAGAAATAAACTTTAAACATTCAAAAGTCAAGTGACAAATGATGTATATAATAAATTATTTATAGTATATATAAAAATTAGATTCCATTAAATATAGATCCTACAATCAAGCATTCACTTACGATTCTAAACAGGGCTCTCCAAAGAACAAATTGTGATGATCGAAAAAAGAGAAAAGCGATAGAGATCTATCCTGGACAAGTATTCTCAATACCACCATCGAAATCTGGCAGATTGAAAATCGTTGAACTACTAAGGTCCCAAATTGAAAGTTATCGTCAAAGTATATTAGAATTTTTGAAGGCAACGGTCACAAATTGAGGTGATAATAGAAGTTGCAAATTGAGAATAGCGATCATCCCGAAATAGATTTTAAGGGTTTCAAAGTCGCAATTGGTGACAAATAACAGTGTATTATTGTTAGATCTTCCTATTTTTGATTGACAAAATGGTGTTGAAGTTCCAGTCGTGAGTTCATGCGACATAAATTGAAAAGATCCATTGTTATCTGTGATATTGATCCAATAGCCTGTAACCAGTTTCTCTATAATATGTAACTTGTAGAGATGGATATGTGACATATGCACTATGACATGTGACCAATGAACTGTTACATGTAACCTGTAACCTATAAGCTGTTACTTATGATACTGATTCAATAATTGTGGCTAATTTTCTAACTTGTGATTTATGCAATATAACATGTGAACTGTTACATGTGACTTGTGACCTATAAAATTTAACATGTGAAATTAATCAAATGACTTGTGTTTGTTTTCTTAAATTTGTGACTTGTGGACAATGATATTTTGCTTATGAATTATGACATAAGAACTTGAATCTGTGACCTGTTATTAGTGTACAAAGACATGTGATGTCTAATCTATGACCCGTTATTTTTTATCTGTGACTTATACAATATGAAATGAACATAAATCAATGATTTGTGACTTGTGGACATTGATTTGTCACCTTTGTATATTGACCTGTAAACAAATTTGTATCATGATTACAAATTTAGCTGCAATCTCACATTTTTTAAGGTAATGTGTTATTTGTCTATTTTATTAGTTGCATATTATTTAGTGGTCTCAAATTAACCCAATTTATTTGTCACGATCACCATACCACAATCGCCATCTCCATGTTCACCACCACCTGTACAACCACCGTCATCACCACTCACCAACAACCTACCCGCCAACAGAACCACCACTACTAACATAACTCCAATTAAGCTGTAGAACTTCATCAACAAAGCTCCCACGACTATTCATTAATCACCAAAAGAAATTCCATAGAACCTTATAGCCGTTGCATTGCGGTGCTCACCCCACTGATAGTGGCACTCGAAGGTGGTCTTACAGTAGCGGTGGTTTTTCAACGATGGTTGTCTTCCAACGACAATGGAGAGGATGGAAAAGAGAAAAATGAGAGGATGAGAGAGAGAGGGGAGAATGGGAAATGATTTGGTTGGGTGAATGGCACAGGATGGGGTGAGTAGGATTTGTAGATTAATGTTTATACTTGATTTTTTAATTGTAAAATTAAAAAACGTGAATGGGTGTAATTTCATGCTTTAATATTAAGGTCCGCCTAGTGGGCCCAAAGGGAAAGAAAACTGTTACAATACTTTCTTGATACTTCCGCGGCAACTCTTGTCTTCTACTAATCATACTCAACCGAAACTCCGACTCATTGGTCCACGTTATACTTCATCACTTCCCCATACTCTCATCCACGCAACTCACCTAACGCCCTACGGAAGTTTTTAACCCGCTCCCCTCTCTCTCTCTCTCTCACACACACACACACACACACACAGTCTCCTGAGCTGTAACCAGAAAGAAACTACGCCACACGTGAGTCTAATATTACTACTTGGTTTCTTAATTTTCTTGATTGTTAGGTACTTTCTGTTTGTGGGTTACTGGATTCAATTGAGTTGTACTTTTTACTTGTCTGGGTCGTGATTGTTTCTCCTATTATTTCTTCTTCTTTTTTTAATTGTTTTCGAAATAAAATTAAAAAAATCATAATTCTTCAAGATTTCTTTCCCTTCTACCTTGTGGAAAGCAGATTTTTGGTTAGAGGATAAAGGCTAAGAAGATTACATCATATTGATTTTCTTGAGTCTTGGCAATAAAGGTACAACTTTTTTTTACCAATTTTTCTGTTGATATAGTGATAGAACTTCAAGATCTGGCGAGATGAAATGATCTTGATTTCAATCATCTTGTAGCGAAGTGGTGTTAATATTGGTCATCGAATGGCTGAGGTGATTGGCCCAAGATTGTACGGTTGCTGCAATTGTAGAAATCATGTTGCACTTCATGATGATGTAATTTCTAAAGCATTTCAGGTGGGAGCCTACCCATTTATTCTTTTTCTTGACGAAATTTGTTCTGCAATGCTAGAATGTTTTTTGGTTTACCAATTTTCTGAGACAACGATAAAAATTAATACCTTGTTTAATCATCAGAATTCTTAAGAAATCAGGGAATTGAAATTTGAGTCTTTTTCACCTTTTTTATTTGTTCATTTCTGATTGGGTTTCTTGCAAAGTTCTGGCCCATTATTGTGGGAATGTTGGTATTGTATTAAAATCCAGGTGCATTGGACTGAATTGAAAGTTTTTTCCCCCTTTCTCTGCTTCTCTTGTAAATAACGTTGGTACTAACTGATAAAACTGTAAAAATCTATGGATGAAAAAACTGAGTGAACATAATTGCTGACAAAAATGAACTCTGTGTGTGTGTGTGGATCCACCCTCAAGAGACCTGGGGGAAATCAGGTAACCAAGCTCGTGTGCCAATACCGCCGGTCCCAAAATATATTGTATTAACTGCTAGCAACTAAGTTCTAATGATATGCTGCAAAGGAACTCTAACAGCTGGTAGAAGGGGAAAAATGGAAAAGTAATTGGAAATACAGCTTGTCTTATTTTGTTGTTTCTTTTTTGTTGTGATCTTAACACTGATGATAGCCATTTGCTAGATAATCTTACCAACAAATATTTGTTATTTGACAATAGGGAAGAAATGGTCGAGCATTTCTGTTCTCCCATGCAATGAACATTGCTATAGGGCCTAAAGAAGATAGACAGCTTATGACTGGTCTCCATACAGTTGCTGATGTATATTGCTCTGACTGTCGTGAGGTATTGGGCTGGAAGTATGAGAGGGCTTACGAGGAGACACAAAAGTATAAGGAAGGAAAATTTATTCTGGAGAAGTCAAAAATAGTCAAGGACAACTGGTAGTCGACGGTAAAATCCTTAGTTTGCCGTCTATATCTTGGCGTAAGTCTGTGGATGCTCACATGTAATGCTGTCCAAAACATTGCGATTAATTGAAAATGTCCATTCATTGTTTGTCCTTGATCATATGTGCTATTTTATGGTGTAAAATCTTGATCATGATTATGGAATTTGTGAATAAATTTGTCTATATGCTAATTTCCTTTGATACTTAAGTGCTTATCCAGTGATATTAATAACATGAAATGTTTTTTAGCAATGTTATGTTTAGCTGAGTTCTTTGATTCCTGGAATATGGTGATGGTGAGAAAGTTGCATTGATAAATTATTTGCTGTTTAGTATTAAATTATGGCTGGTTATTCCAGGTCTGGGCTTCATCGAGTTTGAAATCCTACCTATTGAATTTCAAACATACCTCTTAGGTCATGAAATTCACCTTGCCCTGAAAACCTTAGTTAGATCGAACGGTGCATAGTGTGAGTGATTATAATAGGTGAAATTATTTGAATATCAACAACTGAATGTGTGTTTGATGTCCAAAAATTTCCCAACATTGATTGTATGTATTGCATAAAATTGCGAATCATATTGGTAGTTATATATTTTTTTTTAAACTTTAAAAATATGAATGATATGGGTAAGGTAAACTATTGGCTCAAGAAAGTAAAGTGAAGTTTCATTCATTCAGATATTGAGTAGGAGATTTTTATATTAAGAACATGTAGGAGAAAGTTATAGATGCATCTATAACTAGATACCCATTTTGAGAGTGATTTTCAAGAACTCCAATATCCACTGACTGGTAAAAAAGATTAAGTTTTCAATGGCATTGCCGTTTCTGGTTTGCCATGACAAGTTAGTATTTTATCCATTGAGGATAATGCACATCAACTAATTTTGCACAGTTTCAAAATCTGTTGAGTTTTGTCTTGTCCTTCAACGTTCATATTAGATTGTTCTTGAACTACGGCAGCTATCACCTAGGAATACATCTAATCTTGCTGTTTATAGCCACTTTACCATATATGTTTTGATTTGCTCGAGTTAAAGTCTGGTTATGGAGAATGCAACTATGCATGGATGCATTTTTTTTTCATATTTTTGACGACATGTTTTAAAGAATTCATAATCGAGAAAAAGTGCAGCACGGTTTGGGATAAGTCAATAGTGATAATGGAATGGTTAATGGTCTCCAATCTGTTAATTCCTTTTGGCTTTCAATGAGGGTATGTGACACAGGGGTGTTAATGGACCCTCCGTTTCGACCCAGAGTTGGGTTTGGCTTGGCCCACCACACAAGCCTGCTCATACCCGTTTGAGTCAAGCTGCGAGCTGACTTGCAACATCAAAGTGGGGTGAGCCAGCTTGCAAGCCATCAATGATATATATATATATAGATCAGAGTTGGGTTTGGCTTGGCCCACCACACAAGCCTGCTCATACCCGTTTGAGTCAAGCCGCGAGCTGACTTGCAACATCAAAGTGGGGTGAGCCAGCTTGCAAGCCATCAATGATATATATATTTATGTCAATTTAAAGGATTGAAATTGCAGTTTCATTACCAGAAGTATAATGAAGATGTAACGAAATTACATTTTGTCAATATAACTATCTAATGGTAAGGAAAAGGAAAAATGATAATCAGATATTTCATTAAAAGCATTATAAAGTTGTAAAAACTCTCATCTTTTGTTTGGGCCTGAAATCAACTACAAAACATAGGTGGAATTAAAATTATATACGAATTAATAAAATAAACAAATGAAATAGGTACAATATAATAACTCCACAGAAACGAAATATACTTACAATTCTACATTAGAGGTCTACAATTACACATCTGAAAAGATATCGAAAGGCAACCTTTACCTTTATTAAGATAGTGGCAAATACAAACATTTGCTTCTATTCAGGTTTTAACATTTTCTAGGTCATGTGATGCATCTGATTGACATATGGTCTTCCATGAGAGACCATATGTCTATAAATACTCATAAAGTTGCAGGTGCTCTGAACAAGTCCCAGGCTATACTGGAGAGCATTCCACCATTGAAGTATTTTGAAGAATATGGTCCTTATAGCTGTCTCATCCCATGTTGCTGCTCCAAGCATATTTGTTTCATACATTTCAAACTCAAGATAGTTTAAATCTATACAGTTAAAGAGTTGAGACCAATATATTAGAGAGATTGTAAAGAACGCTGAAATTGAAATGTTATGAAATTTAATTTCCAAACACTCCTTATTTATAGATCCAAAAAAATTAAAAAAATAAAATTGAAATTGAAATTTGAATTCAAGATGAGCCGAGCTAGAGAGCCAACTTGTGCAAGCTACTTGCCAGTTGGCAAGCAGCTTGCACGTGTGATTTGCTGCTTGGCTTATGGCAGTAACTCGCTAGTGGAAAGAGTCAAGCTGGTGAGCAACTCGTCCCACTTAACACTCCTAATATGTTTCAATAAGATTAAAACATAGGTTTTGCTTTCCCCTTCAATTGAAAGACTGATCCTAAAATAAAACCGAAAAACATAGAAGTGTTCTTGTTCATTTTTGTGAACTATCATGCAGAGTAAATGATGGACACATATATGGTAAGTGAAAAGGCATTCTTCTGATTAAAAGGTGGAAAAGTAAACGAGTCTTTGATTGTTGAGGTTGATATTGTGACTACTTAATGGCTTGTACTCTTTTATTTAACTTTTACTATACCAATGGATCTTCCTTGTGGAGCTGTCAACGCGGGTGTTTTGAGGCAAGTATAATCTTGTGTGGAGCGAGCGCATAGATCTACTGAAGTAGCACGAGACTTCTGGATACAATTAGATGTAACTGCAATTTTTATCTGCCTGATGAAGAAAACCCATTACTAATGTCATCATTGGTTATGTTATTGCTCTCATTTTTTGTAAGTAATGTTGTCTTATTTCGTAAACAGCTTAATAGACCTTTTGCTTGTGTCTATACTTGATATTTCAACTGATGTGATCATCTTTGCATATCTTGGTATTTGCCCAAATAAGGAAGCTTGCCTCATTATCATGATTTAACTGCAAAAAGCTGTTCTTGAACTCAGGCACTTGAAATGCCTAATTGCCTATTTGTGCTCTGTGTCTAGGCATTTCGGCTGATATGCTTCAGCTTATGTCTTGAGTTGAAATTCGGGTTCTGGTATTGTCTAGACAATGCATCTACATCATCTCACTGGATTTCATGTTTCAAATACATGCATATTTTTCAAACCATTGAATGCAATTAATTGAGAGCAATACTCAATTTTAACAATCTGAAAATAAATAAATAAATAAATAACCTTGATAACATTGCTAAGAGAATGTCACCAGCAATTGATAATAAACTTGCAACCGTGATATAAGTTGATATAACGTCCTGTAGGTCTGGAGATGTAATTGTGAACAAAAGTAAACTTTCCCCAACGGAGTAAAGAAATCGGTTGAAAGAGAAAAAGAAAGGAATGAAAATCTATTATGTTAAACAGACAATTTCTTTGAGATCCACCTCTTTTTGACGTTTTCAATTGCCTCCTCCCTCATCCTCAGAAGCTCTTGGCAACGCTGCTGATACTGCAAATCAATTGCATCAAGCTCTAGCTTCAGGTCATGGCAAAGTTCTTTGTCGTGGTCTTTTTCAATCAGTGACAAAGAAGATATGCTTATGCACATATCATTAGATACACCATTCCATGAACCCGTAAAGGAGGTTCCTGAATTATTCGTATATTCGCTCATTAACGACTCGCCAATGCTAACCTTGTGCTTCTCAAGGTCATAAGTTGATCTCAAATCATTCTTATGTTTAGCATCTGAGGTCGATACCACATTTTGTTTCGGAGATGCTCCGACTGATTCTCTAGCATCATTGACTTTTGATCTGGAGAACTGTGAAGAAACAGCTATCTCACTAGCCTCTCTGCCAGGAAAGATAATTGATCCATGGTCTTTGGCTTGGGGTGCTAATACCTGATTACTCTGAAGCACAGCAGAAACCACGTAAGAACTCTGAGCTCCGCCCAAACTTCCAGAAGTTTTCCAGGTGGGTTCAAGCCTCAAAAGTAAGCTGTCAATTAACTCAGCTATAAAAGCAATATCTTCACTCAACAAATCAAGTTGTTCTCCCATCTCAGAAGCGATTGAGAGTGCCGTATCAGCATTAAGGTAAAATATGAAGTGAACATTCCTCGCCCTACCTGCTAGAAATATTTTGATTACTATATCATATTAGAAAGGGGAAAGAGTACAATCAGTCAGAATACTTAGCAAAGAGATCTTCAGCTGTATGGTAGAATTACGTACCAGACAAGTCAGCGATCCGCAAAGTTAAAGATACTGTATCATCATCGAACTTTTCCCCTTTTATGGTAAATTCATTTCTCACACTGTATCTCTTCAGTTCTACAGTGGAAAAAGTTTCAATCATACTCTGTGCACAAGTGTCAGCTGATAGCATTTTGTAATTAGGGTCCACGTCCATGAAAGGTGAATCAGATTTTAGCGAGATTGTCGACTTAGGTGTAAAATCAATTAGCTGCAGACGATCACACATTAAATCCTTCGGATTCTCGGTCAGGAATGGTTCTTTCAAGAGCTCCACAGCACTTAACCTCTGAGATGCTGGAACCAAACATTTTTCTATGAACTGTTTCACTTCAGGGTACTTAATTTTATTCATAGCAGCTGGTTTTATGCTCTACAGTGAATTAATTATGATGATAAATAAGAGCCAACAATTCTTTTAAATGTGGAAGATGCATGCTAGGTTCTTGCTAAATGGCAAGAGTTTAGCAGGTGGTCAATGAACTTACAGAAGTGACCTTCTTGTAGATTTGTGCTTGATTTTTGCATTCACCGTACGGGTATTCACAGGTAACCAACTCTAACATACACATTCCGAAAGAATAAACATCAACCAGCTCATTATATTCCTCTTCATAAAGCTCTGGGGCCATGAACTCGGGAGTACCTGTGAGAAAATCAAAATAGCTGACTACTTTAGAGAAGCAGGCCCCTTTTTTGGCCGCCATTCTCTTCAAACTAATTTTCAATCACACATTTCATTAGACCCACAATTTTTATCAACGTTTCAACCACAAGTTTTATCAATTTTGATCAAAATATACGAAAAAAGCCTGATTTTTATCCAACCCAAACAGGAGCTAAATAAAGTGGCACAATCTCTCGACTAAGATAGACAATTACCAATAACACTTCGGGCAACAGGTTGCTGCATTATTGTGGCCAATCCAAGATCTCCAATTTTAACTTCTCCATGATTCCCATTAACAAAGATATTATCGCATTTTAAATCTCTATGAATAATAGGTGGACTGTGAGCGTGTAGATAATGTAAACCTCGAAGGATCTGCCTAGCCCAGTTCTTGATGGCCTTCAAATCAACGTTCTTATGCTTCTTACGGTACCTAATTCAGAAGGAAAATAAAAAATGTTTTCTTAGCAAGAGAAACTAAAAATAACACGAATGTGTACAACTCAAATAGAATGGGAACCAAGACAACGAGGTAACACTTACTGCCTCAAACTTCCTGAGGTGAACAATTCAGTTATCATGTTAATAGTTTTGTTTTCGTCATCCACCCAAGAGGCATATGACCTTATGATGTTTTCGTGTTTCAGAGTCCTTAACAGGTGAACCTCAGAATATAACCTCTCCAAATGTTCAGGCAATTGCAGTACATCATCAATGCTCACTTGGTTCCAAGCAACTTCTATACCATCAATTTCATCAAACCCCTTGAAGCTACAAAAGAGAGCAAGCAGAGGTAAATTTTGACAGGCAGATGAATACTCACACTTGTTGGATAAAACAATTCCAAAATGTGACCATAAAATAGTCTATAAGCAAAGAAACAGAAGATGGTCCAGGAAGCATACACATTCTTGAATGCTCCTCTCCCAAGGATTTCATTATACTGAAGAAAGAAACAGAAAAAGGTAACAAAACCACCAAAACCCAATAAATTAAGCAATATATCATAATAAATAAAGAGAAAATAACAAGCCAGCAGTATAAATTAATGAATCATACAAGCGCATGCACACATTTGTAGATATTTTTATTGTAAAGCCGCAGGGGAACTTAACTTTCAAGAAGATTCATATTCTCCAAAGTTGCTATTGGATTACATAATATTATTACTAAACACATTCATCCATTTATAAACTATTCAAAACATCACTTAAAAGTAATTCTAGACTTGAAAAGATATATTAAAATGTACATCATAAATTATGATCATAAAACACAATTAATGTTCATTCTCAAATCGATTTAACAGGCATGATGGTTCAATAGAGAAGATGCTTCCCAACATTATTTTTCTGTAATTTTGAAACAAGAGAAAGATCATTACACATAATAAACTCACCATATCAATTCTATCCTTTTCATGCACAAACGTGCATATGAGTACCTATTCATATCTCATCAATGATAAACAAATATCTTCTGCTAAACAACAAGAAAGACTGACTATGGACTTACAGGCAAATAGTAATGGTTCAGAAAATAAAAACATTATAAAGCCCACTTACTGAAATAAAAGTAATCAAAAAACGGCACAAAACATTTTGGAAAGATTTCTACTAATATATACATAGCTTACACACTCTAATTCAATGCATGGACTCGAAAAATAAAACAAGAACACTAACCACTAATCCATATTCCAATAAATAAACATAATGAACAATGAACAGCAATGCAAAACATGGTTTTACGTAGCTAAACAATGAACAGCAATGCAAGACATCAAACCTAATTTATTTGTAAAAAGAATGTACCCGAATGTAACGCTTGTCCGGGGAAATTTCTACAACATCAGACTCATTAGGTTCCATCTTCGATTCTCAATCCACCACACAATATCCCCACAATTTTATACACAGAACAATATATAATCCAGAAAAAAGAAAAAAAAAATTGAAAACCTAATTGAACTGTACAAATATGATTCTAGTTAAAGGAAATTTTCAGAGAAGGCTTCACAAGCAATGGAAAACGTATCGATGCCCGACCCAAATTGGACTGGGCATCCAAACAAATTCACTTGCAGTGAATACAAGGAAGAATTCGAATTCAAATTCTCTTTTCCTCCAATCACCCTAGCCATCTCATTTAATTCTTCAAACCCCGAAAAGAAGAAAAAGAAAAGCAAACTGTAAAAATCAGAACAGATAAAAATGGACAAAAAAGAAGAAGTTAACTGGTACCAAGAACAAAGAATTAAGGCATGAGAATATGAAACCCTAGAAATCGAAACATTTTGACAATTCAAAGAGGAAATTGAAAAGAGAATCAACTAAAGATCCTATACACAATTAATGGGAAATTAGGAATGAATTCATATATATAATATATAAGAGAGGATTTTCGTTACGATTTCCTAAGGAAAGCAGCGAAATTTTTTTCGTAAATTGCAAATTAAAAGAAGATTAGAATCATAAAATCCGGGTGTTCATTTATGGTAATATATTTTATATTTAAATTTAATGACCAATCACAGCAAAGGTGTCGTGGTGTAGTTGGTTATCACGTCAGTCTAACACACTGAAGGTCTCCGGTTCGAGTCCGGGCGACGCCATTTTTCTTAATAAATAGTATTTTATTTCTACTCTTTATATTTTGTGTTACCCTTTTCACCATTGTTTCGGACCACTTCTTTTAATTTTTATCGAGTAACACTCACACTCTGTGTATATTATTGATTTTAGAGTCTGTCAAAAGAAATTAAAATTAAAGCACCTACTTATAGCATTGTTTTTGCCATCCAATCTAGCATGACATACCCACCTCGACCGTACCATATGGTTCTACATTACACGTCCCCAAAAATTTTAATTTCAAACATGGAGCATTTACCTATGTACTAAGTTTTTCAAGAATTCAGTGAGCCAACACAATTTGAATTTTTAACCAAACTAACTCCAGATATCAATCAATATAGGGAGCTACAAGTTTCACTGCATTTGTACATTTATTTATCGCATTTGTAAACTTCAATATGCAATTATGTCAAATATCAACAACGTGGGCACAGGAAAGGAGAATCACGTTAATTGTATCTATCAGAAAGACACGTCACAATAGAAATCTCAAAGAAAGTTTTCATATTGGATTACAAGATTTTGTCCACGTCCTTCTCATGAATTTGACTCCACGAAAAGGCTGGCCTGAGGATGTAATTTTGCCTCTTTTAGGGACAAAGAAAGTTTGTCGGGGCCGTAAACAGTGCGAGGAAAGTTGGATACGAGGCTGTAACTCTCAACTTCTAAGCAGCCCAAAGAATCAACATAGTCGTACAGTGTTTGTATTGTTGCTGTCGAATGAAACCTTCTCTCCTTGCGCTCTCCATTTGGAAACCGAACCAGAACCTAACAAATTGGAAAGAACCATTAGCAATAATTTCATGCGAGTTATGTCTTTTAAATTTGAATAGAAATGATCTATTGGTCAATGGAAATTGACGACACAGATTTACATCATCTCAATCCACACCACAATGAGGTTACAAAGAAATAGTATAAAGCACTTCACGTCATAAATCATCCTTGAATATAAATTTCATGACTTCCCATGTTAAACATCAACAAAAAAATGGCTATTTTCTGATAGTCTCGAGTAAGTGAAGTCAATCTAGAACAAAATACTTACTTGAGTAACATCCGGTCCTTTAGCAGGTTCTGCACCTAGAGATGCAGCTTTCTCTTCACGCATCTTAGCTATTGCAGCTTTTTTCTCAGCAGCTTCACGTGCAGCTCTTTCCTGAGCCTCTTCCTCCTCTTTCCTTTTCCTCTCAGCTTCAGTAGCTTCACGTTCCAACCGTTCTTGTTCTTCTTTTCTCTGACGTTCCCTAGCCTAATGTAGGACATATAGTTAATAAATGTACAAATAGTTGATGGCTATGGCTAAATAAATTGAAGAACGACATACTTGATCAGCTTCAAGTGCTGCTCGGTAGGCAGCATCCTGCTCCTCCCTCAAACGCGTGTTGTTTCTTCTTTCTTCTGCTTCAAGCCTGGATGAAACAAGAACAGGAGCACTTTCTTCAAGCACTCTCTGCAGTATACTGAGCAGTTCTTCAGGAGATTTTGGCCCCTCAACCTGCACAATTAAAGCAGGCCAGGGAAACAAGTCAATGTTATAATTAGCATAACACAACTGTGTGTAATAGAATAAAGTTTTTAGGTTCCCAATGATTTGAGATATCTCCCCTTTCTTTCTTTCTTTCTTTCTCCCTCCCCCCCAATTTCTAACACAAGATATGCGTACAAATATAGGAGACAAATGTATACAATAAAATTAGACAAGACAGAATGTCTAAGCAGAGACAAATTTTCATCCTCTTAATTTGCCTATTGCAAGGTTTCAATGAATAATAAATTTTGATGAAAAATCCACCAGACAACGTCCATCTAAGGATACAAAGGTATCTAACAAATAAATAGAGGATAAAGAATAAAGAATTAAATGAGTTGATCAGCTTTTAACCAATTTTTTCCATCATGGTCAGTGACATTTGAGTTCCATGACAAATCTTTTAGAAGTTTGATTTTATTGAACACCCTCATCAAGCATAATCTTCACTTCAAAAACACACCAATAAGCAAGAGGAATATCCCTGTACTATACACCTTACAAGTGATTAGTGCAAAATACATAATTAGGTTAACAAAAATATGAACAGGAATATATTGATTGATGCCAGATGAATAAGATGAATGCTGACAGAACGCAGTAAAACCTAATGCCTCAAATTCTAACTTATTCTATAAATCAACAAACAAACAAATTTGGAACTAACTTCATTTAAAGACTAAAAAGTCAAATTATGAGAATATACAAGTGGAGATGGAACGATAAATTCAGGAATGCCATCCAATTCCTCTTCCCGAAGGGTCCAGAAGATGCAGTAAAGGAAGCCTGTAATTTAAACGATAATGATGTAGCTATAAGTCCTCAGACACGCTGCAATGCAAACAAGATGGCTGGCATCCTCACAGGCTCCTTGCACATGAAAACACCAACTTATCCAGATCCTTTTACTCCAAAGACTATCAGCACAAAGAATGCCTCCTAAAGGCTATAAGCATTCCAATTTCCTGGCACAGAAAGAGGCTGGCTTCAAAGATTTTCTGTTTTAAATTACTTTCAACGAAAAAAATTATCGCACACCAACTTATCCATACCCTTTTTCTCGTTCCAAGACTATTAGCAGTAACAATCTCTCCAGACATCAACGTGCAATGATTTTTTATGACAATTTTTCCTTTTACTGCATTGTGAGAATGTGAATGAAAATGAATGTGTTGCACCGGTTCTTGTTTTTGTAAACAAAATTTTGGTTTTTTAGAACCAAACCTAAACCAGATGGTTCAGGTCCGTTTCAGTTCCACCCTTACATGAACAGTTCCATGAATAAAATTCTCATTTTCAAGTGGTTTAATCCATGTCTACCCCTAATCTTCCTTTCAGTAGCCACTGAAATATAAAATAAGTGCATCACAGTTCATGTTTCATCACCGGACAAGCAAAGCATGAAACACTCTAAAAATTTGCAAAAGCATCACAGTGTGTCATTGTCATTGATGTATCTTTGAAGTCGGAAACCAGATAGTAAAGTAACTGTCATATTAGATGTCATATCTCACACCTTCCAACAATAACGTGGATCACATCAATTGGAAACCAGATAGTAAAGTTACTGAAAAAAGAAAGTGGGTATGGGGCAAAAAAAGAGAGGACTAGAAAAAGAGCCTTTATACAACAGAATGTAAACACAATGTATCTAATATCTATTTTCAGATCTAAGAGATAACAAGTCAACAAATGACTTCAAAATTCCCCTCATCCAGAATGTGAAAAAAATACGGTGAAAGAAACATCAAATGGTTAGACTATATATATATATATATATATAGACAATTGAGCATATACAAATCATGCATATAAATACCAAAAATCCATTGCTCTCTTGTGCATTTAACGAACTTACCAAATCCATGGGGTAAAACAAAATAAACAAGATAATAATATCCTCATTACTAAAATTTCAAAAAGAGTGTATCACCTATCCATGCCAAAAAGGAGGCAAGGACATCAAAATTATTCACCCATCTCTATAAATTCTCAACTTATAGTTTCTTTCATAGCCACGAACAAATCAGTATCAAACAAAATCTCAGTAGAAATATAGCCTACTAACTGAAGTTCGTAAAATTAGGTAGAACTTTGCTATATACCTGTTGTAGCAACGCAATCCTCTGGTTTGTGGCAGCCATAACCACCGCACAGAAGGGAGGCAAGGACATCAAAATTATTCACCCATCTCTATAAATTCTCAACTTATAGTTTCTTTCATAGCCACGAACAAATCAGTATCAAACAAAATCTCAGTAGAAATATAGCCTACTAACTGAAGTTCGCAAAATTAGGTAGAACTTTGCTATATACCTGTTGTAGCAACGCAATCCTCTGGTTTGTGGCAGCCATAACCACCGCACAGAAGGGGAACCTGGAAGCTTTCAAGCTATTACTCATCTTAAACCCTTCACTGGCCTTAACGCTTCCACCCCAGGACACAAAATTCTCGTTGACGAAAGCTGCCAATGTCTCATTACACAAAGTCCTTGCACAGAATGCAGGTGTGTCAGGATGCTCTGGCGAGTGCAAGTAAACAAACAAAAGCTTGTACTCATGCCTAGACCTCTGCAACGCGTCCATGAAACCCTCAGCCACAAAATTTGGCCTAATCCTCCCATAATCCCTCTCAAAACTCGACACAAAGTCCACGGCCTCTGACGTGGACTGAGACACTGACACCAACGGAGTAGTACCAGACCGGACCGAATTATTAAGCCCTATCATACTAAGCGAATAAGACAAAACTCCACTCGCCACCCATATACCGAGCCCAACTGCACCAGAAATCAACCCTAGACCACCCGAAATGATAGAAAACGGGAGCTTTACCAATTTCCAGACAACTCCAGGGGGTTGATTGCCGTTCGCCGCCAGAACTAATCCAGTGTCTTCAGTTTCCGGATTCGTATTTGCGGTGGCGGACCCGGACGCGGCGGTGGGTCGATGGTTGTCGGTGGAGGTCATAGAAGAAATGGCTTGTTCGAGGTCCCATCCATGGGCGGAGAGAATTTCTGTACACAAATCGGGGTCTTCGATTCCTGTGATCGCTTGAAAATACGCCAATTTATCAGCAACATCCCCCATCTCTTGAACGCTTCGATTCGTATGTCTATTTATTGAAGTGAATATCCGAGAAAATGGGGAAACTAGGGTTTAATGGCGGGCTGTATTAGATTGATGTAGATAGATACCGCTTTCTGTATCTGAAAGTTGAATAAAATGGAGAGTTATGGGTCCTTTGGTTTAGCAATCGACGCCAACGAGAATACTGTTGATTTGAAATATCATCGATGTCCTTGGCTATGATGGAATTCACGAGACTGCCATTCCTAGAGCTCACGCACTGACCAAATCTCGAGTCAAGTTTCATTTAACCACTCAAATTTTCTCTTCAACCTCATCACTTTAGCTACAATTTTATTTCGTTTTGATAACTAATAACATATAATATAGCATCATTTCTTACACATTAGACGAGTTTTCCTACAAGGAACATGTGAAAAGTTCTAAATTAATTTATAATGTTCAAAGAATTCAAATTCGATATCAACATTTCAACGACTTTTAAAGATTCAAAAAAAGGTCAAATGGATAAGATTCACAATTCAATTTGTCTGCTCAAGATAAATATTCAAATATACAAGCTAAAACTTTGAAAATCAGTTGCAAGCAGCGGCCTTGAACATTTTGGAGAACACGTACAGCCACAAATAAAGATGAGGACAGCTACAAATGAGAAAAAAAAAAATAAAAAATCTTAAGATTAGATTACTCCATTTTCTCTATAAAAGGAAGCCATGTATCCAGAGTTGTAGTTGCTGGAGAAGTGTAAGAAAGCCTCTATAAAAAAAAAAAAAATAATAATAATAATAATAAAAATAAAGGATTTGAGTATGCTGTAACAACTTATTTATAAAATTCTCAAATTATATAAGTGAAATCTCATATTTTTTTATTCTTCAATACCCAACAAATTTGGTATCATAGCTTAAGAAGAAAATAAAAATCGTATCTGACCAACAATAATGCTACTTGTACCAAGGAGCTTGACAAAAGGGGTTGACAAAGTGAGGTGTACGATTGAGATTAAAAAGCATTGGACGGCTGAGATTTGGCAACAATATTTAACCCATTTACTCAACCCATTTAACAATTTATTGACCTTTGAACGCCCTGTGAAAAAGATGAGCAAAAGAGCGCGGGAATGCGGTGAAATTCATAGCACAAATCAGGTTCAGATGAAGAAGAAGAAGAAGGAAATGGAGTTAATGGTGATGGAATGAAGAGATAGAGGTCAGATTGTGAATTGACGGTGGTTAGCGACGGAGTCGGCGGTGGTTTATCTATGAGTTCAATTTTTGGCTCAATTTTGGGTGTAATTAAGGTGGAGGTTGGGGAGGGGATCTGGGATCAGGATATAGATTGAGGTCCAGAAATGGGATTGTAGAATTCATCTGTAATTTGCAACAATTTTGTTGTTTAAAATCTGCCAGAGATCGTTTACCGATCAATCCAGTCATCGAGAGTCGGGTAAAATTCCAACGTGGGGGGTCCTGTAAGATAGTTGCTGTTGTGAGTTAAGGTTGTTCAAGGTAGGCCTCCCACCGGTGGTGTAGAAGTCGGAATCTCCTTGGAAGACCTCGAAGACATTTTTATGCCGGAAAAATCGAATATTTCACTTACTTCTTGTATACTTTAACATAAAATATGTCCGATCCTTTGAATAAATTTAGCATTTAGAAGCCAAAAAATGATTTTATAGATGAGATGGAGAAGATTGGACCGGAGGAGTGTTTCTCCACTTCATGTTTTTGCCCCCAGATTATTTCTTTTCCACCTCAAACCTTTCTGTGTCAATAATTCTTTAAATGGGTTAAGTATTGTTGCCAAAATCTCAGCCGTCCAATGTTGTTTAATCTCAACCGTACATCTCACTGTCGACCCTTTTTGTCAAGCAACTTTGTACATGTAGCATTATTGATCCTACCAAAGCCAAAAAAAGTCAAATTTCAATAACCTACCATGCAGCAGCAAAAAGTCAAATTTCAATAACCTACCATGCAGCAGCAAATTTAATCTCGATACCCCCACAAAAGCCTATTGAAGTTGTGCACCTAAAGTTGTTTGGAATTTCGGCAACAATTAAACTTTATTCCCAATCACTAGAAGTGAATTATTAAAGTGCTAAATTTCTAAATTGCAGCCCATTATCTTATGCAACAGATTTTATCTCTTTCAACGGAGACAGAGAAGCTATATCAACAAATTCAGTAGTCTCTTTGTCTACATATTCACCAATTCAAGAACTGATCTTTGAAGATGAACATTTTGAACATTGGAGCAGTCAAATGCAAACTTTCTTTCTCTCTTTGAATTTACTGGATGTCATTGAAGATGATGAGGCAGTAGAAGATTCATCTGAAGAAGATGATTCTAAGTTACAGAAGGAATATGAAAAGAAAAATGCAATGGCGTTGCGATATATTCAACAAAGAGTTGAAAAATCAATTTTTCCTTGTATTTTTTATGTTAAAAATGCTAAAGATGCCTGAAAAATTTTAAATGAAGAATTATAGGGCTCAAAGAAAATTAACACCTTAAAACTTCAATTTTTATCAAAGAATTTTGACAATTCAAAAACGAATGAATGAGAAAATGTTCAAGATTTCTCTTCACGAGTTTCGGAGATAATAAATCAAATAAGAAGTTATAAAAATAACATCAAAGACAAAAAAAGGTCACCAAAAATGTACTAAGAAGTCTTCCTCCGAAATTAAACCATGTAGCTATAGCTGTTGAAGAATCAAAAGATTTGTCAAAATGACTATGTACAAATTGATTGGATCTCTTCTTATGCATGAGTAAAGAATTAATCATTCGATGAACCATAGAAGCCAACAAGCATTTAAATCAAAGTTTATGCTAAAGTAGGTTTAAGCAATTATGGAGAAAATTAAAGTGAAGGCCCATACGGAAAGAAGGGACAATTTAGCAATTGGAATATAACTAAGAAGCAAGGCGAATGGAAGGAAAAGAAAACCAGAAATCCAACAATGATCAATCGTGCATTATTTGTTAGAAGTCGAACTATGAATCTAAAGACTGGTATTTTAGGTGCAAGAGATGTAAATTCTCTAATTATTCGTAAAAGGATTGTCGGTTTCAAAATAAAGAAGAGATGGACAAAGAAATAAATACATATATAAATTATACTCATGGAGTATAATACACTTGGTTAAAGAAATTATTTATCCAACTAATGAGACCCACTTAAATAATTGGTCAAAAGTTGGTTAAACTATCTAATTCATTCCAATTTTCCAATAATCACCTACATAAATGAAAATTAATGTAATAGATGATGCAGACCTTAAAGAGTGATCATGCGGAAAGTTATTGCATCTGGATATGTACCTTATGAGTTTGAACCTTCCACAGTAGAATACTATCGGATTTACTTGGTTAATCAGTGAACATGATATCTTGAACTATCAGCTGTTAGTGCAAACCAAGATAATAGTATCAACACAATAACCTCGCTAATATTTTCGAGTTCTCACTGTTGTGTTCATTTTGGCTCTGAACAATTTTTAGATTTCATAAGTGTTTTAGAGAATTCAAGCCTTTGAAACATTTTCATGGAAGCAGCCCCCACTTTACACTTATATGGGTGATTTCCTATTAAGAATACCTGTCATACTCCACTTGGATAGTCTAAGATATATGAATCATTAAAAGTATAGCTTAACCTAAAATTTTCTGCAGATAGCACTTTTCTTATCATAAGAATGGGTAGAAATAAACTTCAAAGTGCTTTTTGAATCTTCATAATTTAGTTGTCTCATTGAACCAAGATATTGGGATCTCCAGTCAACGAGATTGGGTTACCATTACAAATATCCTTACATAGTAGGCTTTAAGCCCATTTTTTTTGATATGCAGTATATCTGATCTCTTGGTAAACCTTTAGTGAGCAGATCCGTGAGATTTTCTCTAGATTTTACATAATCTATAGATATAACACTATTCGAGATCAACTGCTTAATTGTATTATGTCGAGACTTACTATTATACATACTACTTTGTGCTCTACCGATAGCCAACTAACTATCACAATGCATACTAACTGCAGACACGGGTTTAGGCCAACATAGAATATCCTCTAAAAAGTTATGAAGCCATTTTGCTTTCTCTCCAGCTGTATATGAAGCTATAAACTCATATTCCATTGTAGATCGAGTTATACAAGTTTGTTTAGAGGATTTCCAAGATACGGCTGCACCACAATGGTAAAGACATAACCATTAGTGTATTTTGAGTTTTTTGTATCTGATATCCAATTAGTATTACTGTATCCTTCTAACAGCTGGATATCTTGTATAATATAATCCAACATTTAAGGTGTATTGTAGATATCTAAGAGCCCTTATCAATGCCTTTCAATGGTCATTATTTGGGTTACTTGTGAATTTACTAAGCTTGTTCACTGCATATGCTATATCCGGACGAGTGCAGTTGGTGATATACATTAGGCAACCTATTATCCGAGAGTATTCCGACTGAAATACAAGCTCGCCTTTATGTTTGGCCAAATCTAGATTTAAGTTTACTGGAGTTTTAACTGGACTTTCGTCATATAATTGAAACTTCTTAAATACAGTTTCAATATACTGAGATTGAGATAGAACAAGTCCCTCAAATATCTTAAGAATTTTAATTCCTATTATTACATATGCAATACCCATATCTTTTATATCAAAACGTTTTGTTAACATTTTCTTGGTAGTTGTTATGACATTATGATTACTACCCATTATTAGCATGTCATTAACATAGAGACATACAATTACATATGCACTGAATGTGGTTTTACTATAAAAATATTTATCACATTCGTTAATCTTAAAGCCATTTGACAACATAGTTTTGTCAAATTTTGCATGCCATTATTTTGGTACTTGCTTTAGTCCGTATAATGACTTAATGAGTCTACATACCTTTTTCTCTTATCCAGGAACAGTGAACCCTTAGGTTGTTTTATGTAAATTTCTTCTTCTAACTCTCCATTTAAGAAAGCTTTTTTATCATCTAATATTATGCAATGTTGCGACTACAATTAATACCCTAATAGACGTTATTCTTGTTAATGTATCAAAAAAATCAAGACATTCCTTTTGTTTGAACCCTTTAACTACCACTTTGACTTTATATTTATCAATTGATCCATCAGTTTTTAATTTTCTTTTGAAAATCCATTTACAACCTAACGATTTATAACCAGGTGGGAGATCTACCAACTTCTATGTATGATTCTGTATAATTGAATCAAGTTCACTATTGATACTCTCTTTCCAAAATGGAGTTTCTGGACTTGACATTGCTTCATCGAATGTCCTAGGTTTATTTTCTAACAAAAAAGTAAAAAAATCTAGATCAAATAATGTAGCTGTTTTCGTCCTTTTACCACATATTGGTTCTTCATCACTTTGATGATTACCAATTGCAGAATCATAAGTTCATTTTTGCGAACTTATCTCTTTCCTAACCTTACAACCAAATGTAGTTGTTTTGGCCATTTTACTACGTCTTGGTTATTCATCACTTTGATGATTACCAATTGCAGTATCATAAGTTCGTTTTTGCGAACTTATCTCTTTCCTATCCTTACAACCAATGGATGTAGTTGTGTTGGTTCTTTTACTACGTCTTGGTTCTTCATCACTTAGATGATTACAAATTGCAGTATCATAAGTTCGTTTTTGCAAACTTATCTCTTTCCTATCCTTACAACCAAAGGATGTAGTTGTTTTGGTCATTTTACTACGTCTTGGTTCTTTATCACTTTGACGATTACTAATTGCATTATCATAAGTTCGTTTTTGCGAACTTGTCTCTTTTCTATCCTTACAAGGAAAAATTCCTCAAAAATACACAAATCATAGCTTCAATAATAGTATTTCATGTATGTTTGAAATGTTGGACTTATGTACGAGGAACCGATAAGTGCTACTGTTATTAGCATATCCAATGAATACGCAATCGATTTGGCCTTATTTTAACTTGTTTAGGTTTTGGTACTTCTACTTTAACCAAATACCTCCACACTTTCAAGTATTTGTATGATGGTTTATGACATTTCCATAACTCATAAGGAATTTTGTTCTTACTTTTGTGTGGTAATTTATTTAAAATGTGGTAGCTGAGAAAATTGCTTCTCTCCACAAGTTCTGAGGTAAATTAGAACTTATCAACATAGTGTTCATCATCTCTTTAAAAGTACGATTTTTGCGTTCAACAATAACATTCGACTGAGGTGAATACAGAGCCGTAGTTTGATAAATAATCTTAGAATCTGAATAAAGTTCTTCAAACGGTGCCCCATATTCTCCATCTCTATCACTACGAAAAACTCTTATTCGTTTGCTAAGTTGATTCTCATTGGCTAAGTACCCATTGTCCACAAACATGCTATTTTTGGTGAGTACAAACTTATCAGACTCAAATACTAGCCTAAACCCTTTTTTGCTCAACAAAGCTCTGGATATCAAGTTTTTGCGAATATCGAGAACATGCAACACATTGATGAAGGTTACTTATTTGCCTGATGTCGTCTTTAGCACTACTTTACCTAAACCAATAATTTTTTATGTTGTCGAGTTGCCCATGAATAATTGTCTTTCACTGATAAGAGTGTAAAATGAAAACATCTCTTTATCATCACAAACGTGTTGAGTAGCGCTAATGTCTATGAACTATTCTCTTGGATTGTCCACCATGTTTGCTTCAAATACAACGGGTGAGAGCATTAGTTTAGACACATCGTTAAACAATTTGTCTTCCTCAGTCATGTGTACTTGGTCCTGTTTGTTTTGCTTTTTCTGTCGACAATTCTTTGCGATGTGATCAGGCTTACCACAGTTATAGTAATCTTCTTTGAATTTCTCGACCTTGCCTTTTTGCTTGCTATTACTCGAGTGTTTTCTTTTCTTGCTAGTATTTGGCTCCATCAAATTGACTTTAGCCTCCATATGCAGCTTTCCAGATTTCTTCTCAGAATTTCGATTATCTTCCTTAATTCTTAATTTTACAATCAGATCATCAAGTCCCATTTCCTTTCGTTTATGTTTTAGGTAGTTCTTGAAATCTTTCTACATTGGATGTAATTTCTCAATAATTGCAGCGACTTGAAACGACTCACTAATTTGCAGCTCTTAGACCTGATTCATTACTGTTTTAGAATCTATCATTTTGAAATCTAGGAATTTGCCTACAAAGAATTTCTTCAATCTGACATCTTCCGTTTTGTACTTTTTTTCCAATGATTTCCATAGTAATTTAGCTATCTTGACTGAACTGAATTGTATACGCCATATAATGTGTTTCAAGGCAATTGAGGATATAGTTCATGCACAAGAAGTTACGAGTGAATTACCTAAATGGTCATTGAACTTCGCAAAAAGTTTCCACGGGTCACTCAATTTTAAAAATCACACAATTCATCACTGAACTTTGTAAAAGGTTTCCACGGCTTCACTGAACTTTGCAAAAGGTTAATTTAGTGATTCCTTGAAAACTTTTTGCAAAATTTAGTGATGACATAAAGTTCAGTGACCTCATGTAAACTTTTTGCAAAGTTTAGTAATGAATTTGATGATTTTTAAAGTTACTTTGTAAAAAGTTTCCACGGGATCATTGAATTGGATGATTTTTAAAGTTCAACGACCTCATGGAAACCTTTTATAGAGTGCAGTGACCATTTGGGTAATTCACTCCAAGAAGTCACTATGACTCCATTCATCGAATGTTGCTCGTTTTTTAAGATATGTTTTTTTCTCCTCAACGGTTGGAGTATCTTCACTCAAGAATTTCGCCAAATTCAAAGTTATGAGATAAAACAACATTTTTTTGCCATCTTTTAAAATTCACTCCTGTGAATATTTTTGATTTCTTCCTGTGAGCATTATTGATGGTGTGACTGATTTGTTGTTACTTGCAATAATCTAATAAAATTTCAGAATATAACTTAGTACGTAAACAAAATTATCGTCTTAAGATTGTTGAACAAAATTCGAGAATGCCATGCAGTAATTTATATAAATAAATAGTGAATAAAAAATTGGCAGAATTTCGACTTACAAAATTAGCTCAATAAAATTAGAACGATAATGGTCGAGGCAAGAATTCGACTTTTTCTCATTAAGACGATAATGCCTCGCACTGGTGCTAACGATCTCCTGGCACTCATCTCCCAAAAATAATGATCTCGACTTGTAATAATAGCACTCTAAATTACAAGACCCGACGAACCTACTAATATTTTGATCTCTCGAAAATCGGAGGACTAAAATGCACGAAATTATTATTTTTGACTGAAATGCAAAATATGGAATGCTGTAGGACGGAAGGACAGTATTTTGCAAGAGAGGAAATCAGAAGAAATTTTGGAATGAACAAAATCAGGAATCTAGAGATCTATTAATAGAAGTTGAAAGGTTGTACCCAAAATACACAACAGTCAAAAAGTTGTGCTAACTTCTAGAAGAAGCCACGTGTTGAGCACAGAAAATTGATGGGAGAAAAAATAAATAATATAATTAAAATATTATTTTACCAAAAATATAAATGCCAACTGAGCCCGACCCACGACCTGTATGGTGTCGAGCAGGCCGGACGAGCGACGACGGGCGGGCTTTAGCTCAACCTACTAACATGTATGTCATCTTCCCTTCAAAGATTAGTGGTGCTCCTTGGGGGCCCAAATCCAAGTCCAAAACTCGAGTAATATAAAGTGATTTCTAATTTTCTAGTTTTCCAACACTTTCCAATTTTCCATCAATTTTTATTCCCAACATATTTCAATTTCAAATGGTCATTTTTTGGCTTTAATTTCTCATTCACCATTAATTAATTTTGAGAAATAAATATAAATATCAATTCTACTCATGGAGTAGAATACACTTGACTAAAGAAATTATTTATCCAACTAACAGGACCCACTTAAATAATTGATCAAAATTGGTCAAACCAACTAATTTATTCCAATTTTCCAAAAAAAGTTGACTAGGCCAGCGTTTCACATTCAATTTCTCCTTGAAGAGTGGCCATTTCCATGAAGTTTCCAAGCCTCGGCATTACTTGAACTAAATCAGAAAGAAAATAATAGGAAGGAGCACCGATCTGAGGGGGTAGTTTGGTATAATTTTGAACTATTTATATATTAATTAGACTTCACCTTCCGACCATTTTATGTGTAATCGAAGTAGTTAGAATCTTTTGCCTTTGTAATCACGGACATAAATGTACAAATATTTGTCAACCCAACTTATCCAATCTCCCTTTTTAGAGTATAAATTAAATCCCAATCGAACGAGAATGACTTGTGAGTGAATATCATAAAATTAATGGTCAAACAATGAGAGTTTGGCTTAGCTCAAATGCTAAAGTAGCCAAAATATATTTCCAGTCTTCAGTAAAGAGAAGTAAAATAAAAAATTAGTCAATTTTGAGTGGAAAGGTATCTTCTTTCTAAGGAAAAAGCAACCGAAAGTGTAGCTTTTGAATGCATATCTTATTTGAAAATTATTTCATTTCAATCACATATTCTCCTAATAAATAATTTATCACACGGGTCCATAATTTATTACTATATATTCTCAAAAAAAATTAAAATTTATTTTTGACTTTAAATAATCTCATTCAGACAAACAATACGACACTATAAAATGCAACACGGATTGTTGACAACTATTTTGAGTTCTTTGTTTTTAATGATATGAGAAAGCTGATCTTAATTCTCTCTAAAAAAGAGGAAAAATTGAAAATATTCAAATGTAATCGACTAAATACAATATAAACAGCGTTCAAAAAATAGTAAAATATGGTAAACTAGCACGATCAAGCTTCAAGTTTTAACTTACCTGAATGGGAATAGGCAAAGACTTTACGTAAAATATTTTGAAGAATAGAGCCTCTTCTAAGCGAACGTTTTAGTATAATAATTATAAGTTATATTTTTACCTTTAAAATAACTATAATTTTAATTGAAATATCTATGCCATCAACTTTATATTGTAAAATCTTTCCTCATTACAAATTATAAAATTGTCTTGTAAACAAAATAAAAAATAAATATGAAGGTAGAATCAATTTATTGAAAAATTGCATTTCTAAATATACATAAATATCTTAGATAGGTAGACAATTATGTGAGAATATACATACGCACAAGTCTACACCTATATATATCTCTACTAATATAGGGAGAGGGGGGAAAGAGAGAGAGGGCACACGCAATTATCATTGCCTTCTGTTTCGAATCTACTCCAATTCCATTTCCATTTCCATTTCGTTTAATCCACAAGATTAATTATCACACGATATCAATTTTGGAAGGGGGAAAGAAAGGAGAGCGTGAAATTAGTAATCGGATTAAAAATTTCTAGAGGAACGTGATTTGTGATGGCGAATTTGTATGTTCAGGCGGTGCCGCCGACGGATATGAATCGGAATACGGAGTGGTTCACGTACCCCGGTGTGTGGACCACCTACATCCTAATATTGTTCTTCTCGTGGCTGGTTGTGCTTTCCGTTTTTGGTTGTTCCCCTGGCATGGCATGGACAATTGTTCATCTCTCCCATTTCCTCGTACGTTCTAATTTATGTGCACATATATAAATATCGATTTAGTGATTATGCTTATCTGTGATGCTAGGGCGTGGGTATATTGTTCTTTTTTTGTTAGGGTTTGATTTAATTAATTTATGTGTGCTGGAACTGGAAGGTTTTATGTATTTTCTGAGCAACGATAGACTGGTTTATTAATCTGATTTTAATAAACCAGATTGTGGTTCTTGTGGAATCCATGATTTAATTGAATATTTATATAATATATTCTATTGATGGCAACTGCAAAATATTGTTTTTGATATTTAGTGGGTGCGTGGTCCGAGGAGAATTTTACCAGCTGAGAATTAAGCAGAAAACCATTTAGGCAATCATTGTTGTTCTTGTGCAATCCATGATCTGATAAAATATTTACATAGCATTTTATTAAACCTTTTTATAACATTTTGATTATAACTGCAAATTTTTTTTATTTTTATTATTATTATTATTATTATTATTATTATTATTATTATTATTATTATTTTTGTTTAATGGAGGTAATATCCTAGGAGAATGAATTTCCAGCTGAGAATTAAGTAGAAAAGGTAACCAGTTATGCAGTTAATGTGGTTCTTGTGGAATCTATGATATGATTAAACTTTTAGACAACATTTTAGCAGTGTTGAATATGTTAATTTATGTGCACGATCAATTTAGCTCTCTGTTTTTTCTAAATCAAGGTATAGCTTATATATGAATTAATAATGGAATCTCTCTATGGTCATGGATGATAGTGGAACTTTGCAACAACATGGAACCACATGTTTTAGTCAATTGGGTGCATACAAACTACTTTATCAGCATGATCTTATCATATTATTACGTGGACTCTGCTTATGGTTCCCAAGTAGTTCTTCCTTTATTGAATTCGAAAAAACTCTTACAGAACGTCTGGAATAGGATACAATCGAATAATTATAGGAGATGGGGAAAGGGGAGAGAAGAATAGAGGAAGGGAAGAAGAGAAGAAGAGCGAAAGAATAGAGAGAACTTAGATGGAGAATATCAATTTATTTCATTAACAAAGTTCTTTCAATTATATTGCATAAGACCCCATTATATAGGAATTCAAAGATCCTATTCTAAGTAGGAAATACTATAAAATTAAACCCTAATTATGTTACCTAAAATAAACATCAATATTGGAAACTAATTTAAATAATATCTGTTATATTATTCCATCACTTTCTCTAGGTCATTCTATCTGCTAGGATAGATCTTATATTCTGTAAGCAAATATGGTGAATTTTCTCATCTTTGGTCTAGGTTACTTATCACTGCTTTCACTGGAAGAAGGGAACACCGTTTTCAGAAGACCAAGGCATCTACAATAGGTTGACTTGGTGGGAGCAAATAGACAATGGCAAGCAGCTCACTCGCAATAGGAAGTTTTTGACAGTTGTGCCTGTGGTGCTGTAAGTATTCTCTCAATCTTGATTGTATGCAGTATGTTTGCTTCTTATTTTAATTATTAAAAGTGACTTTTGTGTTAGACAGAGCTATTGATATTAAAAGGGCATGGTTGTAACTAATATTGAGTCCTAATAATATTGTTAAAACGGTGTTGCAGTAGAGTTTTAAATGCTCTATGATTTCATAGAGTTTTAAATGCTTCGTGATTTCATTACTAATATCATTCCAAATACTTATCTAGCATAGACATTGAAGATTGAATTGGCCCCCGTAGAGAAATATTTAGACAAGCAATAAGCCCATGCCTTAATGCTTCTTACACACATTGTGTCAGCCTTTATGTCCATTTAAAATAATTGGTCTTATTAGTGAATTTTTCAGTATGCATTGCAATTGTTAGTGTACGTGAACTTCCACAGGGTAAAGCAGAAAAAATGACCAAATTGGATAAGCTCCTTTTAAACTCAAATAAAAGGGCCCCACAATCGCGATAGAAAAGTACATAATGTGTGTCGAATGAGCAACACGGTTTTTTCCCTATTCAGCTACATGAATGCTGTGATGCTCGGACTCTTCACTTCGGTCGGAGTACCTGTGTCGACACGACACGGGTACGGGTATGGGATATGGGGTGGACACGGCAAAAATCAATTGGACACGGCTAATCTTGACTTGATAGACGATTAGGAAGCTGGGTTCTTCAATGAATCCAAGTTCGAGTCCGAAGAATCCTCATCGGCAACGGAGCCAGTGCTGGGAGAGGTGGCGCGACTGCCGTGCTGCTCCTCTGGAATTTACAAGTTGGAAGATGAAGACTTGCAGAAGGCACACCGCCTGTAATGACGTGAAGTGAAGAATAGGGAATAGGGAAAGGCAAGATAATGAGTTTGTTGGGCCTTTTTTTAAATTGTGGTTCTCCGTTGAGCTGGGCCCTTTTTTTATTTATTATTTATTTTTTATTTTTAAAGGCCCATTACCTAATGCTAAGGTTAATTATAATTAGAAATCCTTTTTGCCCTAGCCCATATGATAACATATTTGCTGTAAGTTGGAGTTTGATTAGGAAGATTTTCATTAGAAGTCACCATACTTTTGATTAAATTTTCATTTTAGTCATTTAACCTTTTTTTTAATTAAGATTCTACTTAGTATTTATTTCACTTTTTACATTTGAATTTTTGGGGAAGAAAAAAAAGGTTAAAAGGCATACCCACGTACCCGTATCCGAAATATGGACTCTTTTTAATCATACCCTCGTATCCTACATTTTAGAAAATAAAAGATCCGACACTTGGACCTGATACCCGTACCCGAGTCCGAGCATCATAGCATGAATGTGATTTTCCCATAATAAAGACAGTTTTTGCTTCTAAGTATACTGCTCCTCCTTAATGTTATCTAATTGGTTGAGATAGCTTGCTAAGAGTTTGTGCTAAGAAGTATAGCGCAATCCTTTTCCCTTTTCATATTATTTTATAGGCGTAAAAATTAAATTCACGACAAGTGATACAACGTTTATTGTAAGCAAGATCTGTTCACTTCAGAATGGGAAAACTAGTATTAATTTATCAATAATGTTGCACTCATAAACCTTGAGTCAACCTAAGATTGTTATTGAGGATTTTAGATGTGTAGAAGAGGTAAACTGATGAATATTGTTGCAATGAAAGTGCTGCAATTGCTTGTCTTGTGCAACTGCACAGTGAAAAGGGTATTGACAAAGATGTCACCACCACCACAATTGGGGGTGCAGCAGTCAACCACCATAACGTAAGCTTATCCACTGTCCAGTTGTGAGACAGTGGAAACTCTCTTTTTGTAGCCTTCATTTAATACAAGACAAAAGGTTCAAGTATGCTCATCTCGTTGTGCACAGTTTGGTCTTGAAGTTGATGCTATTTGATAGATTGCAGAATATGTAGAGAGGAAAGGGAAACTTTATGTGGTGGTTGTTCAGGAAGAATTTAGGTCAGGAGTTCTATTAACCTTTTTGTTGAATTACGGAGCTAGGAACCTCCTGCTATCTGAGATTCTAAGACATCGGTTTCCATTTTCTAAACTCAATTAAACGTACCAATCCCTGAAATCTTCTCTGTTGCAATCAAACTACCTTCTTGGACATTGCTAGCCAACCAAATGGACCTTAGGTATTGTTTGATCAGTAACAAATGGATATTCTGCTCTTTTTTGCTGGGAACCTCTGATGAGGTTTCTTTCCTATAGCTGTCATTAATTGGCGATCGCTTGATACCGTAATGTAAACTGATGTTACAGTTTGGGGTTATTTGTGTTGTGTTCAAATGGCTCCAAACTTTTCTCTAGTGCCCCCCCCCCGAGTATTTTCCTTTATTTATTGCGGAACTGTCTTTGTAAATTTGGAGAATACAATGAACTTGAGTGATTTAGAATGGTCAGTGCCTCTCTTCTTGATCGATTTAGACTATATGCAATAACCGACATTGACTAATTCCAATAATCATGCTAGATATTACTAGGCATGCTGTGTTAGGTTGGCAAATAGGAAGTTGAGCAGCAACTGGTAAATTGTAGGGAGGAAATAGTTGTGATACAAATGGCCAATTCTCCTTTTGGAGTGCAAATTTTAGAAATTCCTATATAAGCTAATTTTTTCCATTTGTTGTCTTATTATTTATTCATCGGGTATCATACATGTGATTTATTGTCTGGAAAGGTTTCGAGCACCATAAGGGCTTGTTTGACCCACATTCTTTCAAAAAAATACATTCTTAAACAGTATTTGATTTTATTTCAACCACACATTTTTCAATAAAATAATATTATACACAAATCCAAAAATTTTCCTTATTTTGTAATCATACATTTCTTATCAATACACTGTTCAAAAATGCATTCTTATAAAAATAATTTGGCTCAAACAAGGGCTAAATAAAACTTGATTGCTTATCCTTACAATATCATTGCATTAAAAACGTAGTTTAACATCTGATTTACTGGCTCCAACTTAAATTTTTTGATTGAGCTAGGCAAGGTTGAAGTCTGAAAGGATATAATCTGTAGCATTATTACTACATAATTTGTTTTACAAGTCTTGTATTTGAAGGTGAAAGAAATTTATCCCGTTTGACAGAATGTTTTTGGAAAGAATGAGTTTCTGAATAGTAAATTTTTGGAGAATGTGTGGTTAAAAAGTAGGAAAATGTTTTGGATTACGTGAAGAATAGAATGTGTAGTTGAAAATGAGTGAGAGAAAAAAAGAGTTCTAAAATAATGGTTACCAAATAGGGGTTTAATGCGAGTTAAACATTGTACCTTAGACGCGTGGATTGCAAATATCCTACTGCAATTTAGAATTTGAATGTCTAAATGTTTGTTTCTAGTTTGAAGACAATTTTTACGATGAACAACAATCCATTAAAATTCTCTTAATCGCACCTTTTTGTCTTATTGTGGTAGAGGTAGAGTCCCTTTCTGATTAATCAAAGAGGAATACTTTTTCTTCCCCCTTTGTGCTACTTGTAATAATTGGGTCGAGAATATCTTGTTTCAACTGGAATCAGTTCGTACTTATCCTTGTTTTCTCCTCAGGTACTTGATAGCCTCGCACACAACAGACTATCAACATCCTATGCTCTTCTTCAACACACTAGCTGTTTTTATTCTGGTAGTTGCCAAGTTCCCAAATATGCACAAGGTTCGCATCTTTGGAATTAATGCCGATCTATGAACTGAGATCCATTAGTGCAGGTTTACCACTGGTATTGGCATTAATTTACAGCATTTTATTATATTGGAAATACTGCAACGCTGGAACAGGCAACCGAACCATACATCTTTGTGAAATACTAAGATCTACAGATGTTGGAAGTTCTTGACTTCTTGTATGAACTTTTTACAAGTTGAATTTATAAATTCGCATGAGCTATATTTCTTTTCCTTGAAGTTGCAGAAAAGTATTTCGTATTGTTCTGATGAAGTTGGTCAACTAAACATGCTTAATCAGGGTGAATATATCTTCAAATTTTTTTTTTTCATCGCAGGGTTTAATTTACTCCTTAACCTCTACCCTTTGTTAACTTAGGAGTAGTCATAATTGGGATGAATGTTGTTTGTGGTTCTTCCTCGCTTTAGAACTATGAAATCTTGATTAGAGGAAGGAAAATGCTAGTTTACATAATTTTTTTTATAGATTGATGAGGTAACGATAAATTGAATAAGAACTGTCAAAATCTCCTCACCACTTAAATGATTGTGCTTATGTAACGTGGATTAATGTGTAAAAGAAATTGAGGATGTATTTTTTTTTTCCAATTCAAGTATTGTCTTAAATATATACCATTAGATGGACGCCATCTCTTTGCATTGTACTGTTAGCAAAATTTCTTTAAAGTCACTAAACTTTATTTTATTCTAAGTTGGCACTTAGCTTTGTTTATACTTTGTCACTAAACCTGAATATTCATTACAATTCGATGTTTTGTTCATATCTATTAGTTTGGCTTATGAAAAGACCATCTTGAAAGCCTAGTTGATAAATATTTAGACGATTTTATCACTTTTTTCTATTAATCAAAAATTAGCTCTAGAAAATGAATGATTAAATGTACCATAAATTCATATAGCTAATTTAATATTCGATTTGAAATTCCACAAAAAAATGAAAAACCTTTAGTGTATTTAACACTTTCTTACTTTATTGATGATCATTTGATGTTACCTAAGGTCTTAAAGTTAAAGTATTTTGAAATTGAAAATTTCTTAATACCTTCCTCTTTGATTTTGTATTTGCTTTTAAGAGCTTCTCAAATTTTCTTTATCGAAGTAGTGATGGTGTAGAGATCATACAAGTGATTGTAAAGGGCATTAAGAATGTGGCTACAACAAATCAATTTGTCCTTTGGTTTTTTTCTCTCTCGGCCCATAGTTCTTCAGAATCTTCATTGATTGCTTCAGAAATTGGCTCAAAACTTGGATCAAGCACATATAAGTTCTTTAATGCCTTTAGAAGGAACTTGAATTTGTTTTGCCATTGGGTAAAGCTTGTTCAATCGAACATATCCAAACAAACCAAGTCTTAGTTCATCAACATGATTGTTGCTAGTGTAGTTTTTGCCTCTATCGCAATAGGAATATCGTTTGAAATTGTTGAAAATAACAACAATGGAGAGAAAAAGAGATGAAGATAGGAACACAAGAAATGGAGTAATTTGCAAGACTTAAAAACACCAAGTAAACGTTGTCCCAAACAATATTTGCTTCCACTTCAAATGCTTTTAAGGATTCAAATGACAAATAGTTCAAAGGATAAATCAAGCCTTATGAAGACTATCACAGCACAAGTGTTTCTTCAATATGAACAATGTGAAAACTTGAAAGTGAATATGTTTAGGAATTCGATAATCTCCCTTTGATTGTATGTGCTTATTTTTGATATGGAAAAAAATATCACCTATTTATAGTTTTCTATCACCACATCTTGAAATGGCCTCAACCATTCATGAAAAGATGGAACTTTTCATTCAAAAGGCACCAAAATTCAAATTGCAAAATCAACTTAACAGCTAGTTTTTATGTCCATGCGATTGCATGGGCAAAATTCAATTTCCCAAATATGAATGTCAACAATTCATTCCCATTTTTGGTCCAATTAAGGTCCACTATCAAACACAACATTTTGAACAGTCCATTATCAAACACAACATTTTGAACAAACAGAGAGGTAATGAGGCTTCCAAGAATTGGTTAATTCAATGGGATGGTTTCAAAACTGCTGAGGCTACTTAAGAGGACACGGAAACTATTAAGCAGAAATTTCCTTCATTCACAAAATTTGGCTGAGGGGTGGGACTCTAACAAGGGGCACTGTTCCTGCTGTGATGAAATGGGGAAAGAAGAAGAAAATGACCATCCGCCATAACCACAATACAATGGGCAGACGACGAATTTTGAATCCCATCCCACTTCAGATTGAAAAATAATGTTATTTAGCACCAGTAGTACGAGATCACAAATTCAGGTGATCATACTTATTCGTGTGACGTTGTATAGAAGTGAATCTATCATTTAATATCATGTAATTGTCAGTAAAACTGATGTTCGATACTAGTGGTACAGAATAGACAGAATAAGAATTACTTTATTCAAGATTGAAACAATATTGTCTCTCTTTTCTCATGAAACCTAAATTAAAATAAATGTGTGCATTAGTTTAATACTGTTAACAACGTGTTAACATCTTTCTATTAGAAAACTCTATTACTTTGTAGAACTAAATGTTCAGGATGTTAAATGATTTTGTAATTTTGCTTGGAGCATTGCCTTGAGAGAATTCCTCCATTAATTCTTTCCTCTATCTCTTTTTTCCATCTTTGGTTTACATCCATTTCATGTATATAATTCAATTCAATTTTGTGGTTATTAGATATTATTGGTTCGATTTATAGTGTTTCATTGATCGAACTTCATCCTTTACATAAATTAATGAAATAACCTTAACTTGTATGTTGTTGTTGAAAGATTTCGTAGGAAGTGATTAATCAAAGTCAAATAGTAGCCTCATTTGATAGACTACGGAAAGTTATGGAACAAGACAAGGTTAATGTCATGACAAATGACAACGTTAGATCACAAAATTGGTAGTATTCAACTTTTTTTCTTGGCTCAAAATTCTTAGGAAAAAAATGAAATAAATAGAAAGAACAATGGGCATAGTGGGTGGTCAATGGTAGACTTAGTCAAAGTCAAACTCTTACGTTGACTAGGCCGCAACCAAGACCCCACACACAGCAAACCCCAAGAAACCACTTGGAATTCTAAATAATTTTTCTTTATGTTTTATAGTGTATATAAATTTCTTTATGACAAATTAAGTAACTGTAGACAGGCCACGAACTATCCTTTGATGAAGACGCCTTAACTTATTGATGATCAATTGAAATTCATGTACTTGAGGCAACAAGGGGATGTTAACTAATATCTTAAAATTAAAGTATATTGAAACTGAAAATTTCTTAATACATTCCTCATTGATTTTGTATTTGTTTTCAAGCGCTTCTCAAAATTATTTATTTATTTATTTTTTTATCGAAGTGGTGTTGGTGCAGAGATCATATAAACGAAATAAAAGGGCATTAAGAATGTGACCACAACAAATCAATTCGTCCTTTGGTCTTTTCTTTCTCTCGGCCCATAATTCTTCAGAATCTTCATTGATTGCTTCAGAAATTGGCTCGAAACTTGGATCAAGCACATATAAGATCTTTAATGCCGCTAGAAGGAACTTGAATTTGTCTTACCATTGGGTAAAGCTAGTTCAATCGAACATATCCAAATAAACCAAGTCTTGGTTCGTCAACTTGATGGTTGCTAGTGTAGTTTTTGTCTCTATTGCAGTAGGGATATCATTTAAGATTGTTGGAAATAACAACAATGGAAAGAAAAAGAGATGAAGATGGAAACACTAGAAATGGAGTAATTTGCAAGACTTAAACAAATAGGAAACGTTGTCCTCAAACGATATTTACTTCCTTTTCAAATGCTTTTTTAAGGATTCAAATGGCAAATAGCTCAAAGGATTAATCAAGCCCTATGAAGAATATAAAAGCAAAAGTGTTTCTTCAATATGCACAATGTGAAAACTTGAAAGTAAATATGTTTAGGAATTCAATAATCTCCCTTTGATTGTATGGAATGATTGTATTTAATTATTTTTTATATGAAAAACTATCACCAATTTATAGTTTTTCTATCACCACATCTTGAAGTGGTCTCAACCATTCAAGAACGGATGGAACTTTTCATTCAAAAGGTACCAAAATTCAATTTCCCAAATATGAGTATCATTGTATCAACAACAATTCATTCCCATTTTTGGTCCAATTAAGGTCCACTATCAAATCCAACATTTTGAACAAACAGAGGGGTAACGAGGCTTCAAAGAATTGGTTAATTCAATGGGATGGTTTCACAACTGCTGAGGCTACTTAAGAGGACATGGAAACTATTAAGCAGAAATTTCCTTTATTTACAAGGTTTGGCTGAGGGGGTGGACTCGAACAAGGGGCACTGTTCCAGCTGTGATGAAATGGGGAAAGAAGAAAATGACTGTCCGCCATAACCATAATACAATGGGCAGGTGACGAATTTTGAATCCCATGCCACTTAAGATTGAAGAATAATACTATTTACCACCAGCAGTACTAGATTACAAATCTGGGTGATCATACTTAATCATGTGACATTGAATATAAGTGAATCTATCATTTAATGTCATGCAATTATCTGTAAAATCGGTGTTTAATACTAGTGGTGCATCATAATACAAATAACTTTATTCAAGATTGAAACGATATTTTTTCTCTTTTCTCATGAAACCTAAATTATAATAAATGTGTGCATTAGTTTACGTCTGTTAACAACGTGTTGACGTTTTTCTATTAGAAAACTCTATTACTCCGTAGAACTGAATGTTCAGGCTGTTGAACGATTTTGTAATTTTGCTTGGAGCATTGCCTTGAGAGAATTCCTCCATTAATCTTTTCCTCTATCTCTTTCTTCCATCTTTGGTTTACATCCATTTCATGTATATAATTCAATTCGATTTTGTGGTTATTTAATATTATTGGTTCGATTTATAGTGTTTCATTAATCGGACTTCATCCTTTACGTAAATTAATGAAATAACCTTAACTTGCATGATATTGTTGAAAGATTTCGTAGGAAGCCATTCATCAAAGTCAAATAGTAGCCTCATTTGATAGACCACGGAAAGTTATGTAACAAGACAAGGTTAATGTCATGACAATTGACAACGTTAGATCACAAAATTGGTAGTATTCATTTTTTTTATTTTTTTATTTTTTTTTTGCGCTCAAAATTCTTAGTGGACGGTCAATGGTTGACTTAGTCAAAGTCAAACTCTTACGTTGACTAGAGCGCATCCCCAACTCCCAGACAAACCAAGACCACACACCAAGCGAACCCCAAGAAACCACTTGGAATTCTAAATAATTTTTCTTTATATTTTATAGTGTATATATTTTTCTTTATGACAAATTAAGTGATTGTAGACAGGCCACCAAGTCCAACTATCCCTTGATTAAGACTTCTTTCTTTTTTTTCCTCCTTTTCTTTTTTTTTTTTTTTTTTTTTTTTTAATTTTTTTTATAATTTTTTTTTTAGTTTTTTTTTTTTTTTTTTTTCTATTAAAAAAATATTTTAATTTTCAAAAAAAAAAAACTAATTCCTCAAACTTTTCAAACAGTGGCAGACTTTTTTCTAATCTTTCAATCATTGTAGCCGTTATCTCAAACCTTTCAAATCGTTACAGTCGAGGTCCCAACGGACGGTTTTCATCCAAGTTGGCATTAGTTGACCAAAAAAATTAATTTTGACAACCTTCTAATCAATTTTAAAAGGGCAAAATAATATTTTAATATTTTTTCCATAAAATAATAGAAAACGTAAAAAATAAAAAAAAAGATAAATAAAAAAAATTTTAAAAAAGAAAAACTATCTTCTTCTTCACCCCCGTCCCAGGAAGCCGTCAATTGAGGAATCCGATTCACATACAGCACGACAAATTTAAAAGTCAAAGTTTCATCTCAATCTTCTCGAAATTTTAAAGATTATGAATAGACTCACTTGGTTTTCGAACTTTTCTTTCCTCGGTAACAAATTGTAGAAACAGAAAAATAAAATGGAATTTACATAAATTGATTGTATTCTCTATAGCAAATGTCACATACAGAGTTTCTTCTTCAAAATAATCCCATGTTTTTTGGGGGGCTTTTTCACAAGCTAAGATAAGAAAAAAGTAATTTAATGAATAAGTTAAAATGAAGCATAAGCCACAGATCCTTCATAAATAGAACTAAACTAATCCTGAAGGATCGTGCTGCCATTTTAGCCCGTCGAGAAGAGTATCTCTACAATTTCCTCAGAGAACTAGACCTAGAAACCACTAATCGAGCCGACATTGAGGGTTTCATTGTATTGTTACTGTTAGCACCGTAACAGGTGATATTTGGGCCTTCCTCTTCCAGTGGTGGGTGGAGACGGAGGCATCGTTAATTTTGTCAAGAGCGACGTGGCTTTCACGGAGAAGATGGAGAAAGAGGGGAGATTTTTTTGTGATTTCTGGTTTTTGGGGTGGGGGCTTCTTTTATTTATTTATTTATTTTCTTCTTTTTTTGTTTTTTGTTTTTGATTTACATTTTTTATTATTTTGTGGGAAAAATATTAAAAGTACTATTTTACCCTTTTTAAAATTGATTAGAAGATGGTCAAAATTATTTTTTTGGTCAACTAATTCCACATTGGATGAAAATCGTCCGTTGGGGCCTCGACTGTAACGATTTGTAAGGTTTAGGGTGACGGCTGCAATGATTGAAATATCAGGGAAAAGTCTACACTATTTGAAATGTTTGGAGCATTAGCTGCAATTTTCCCTTTTAATAATAATGAAAAGTAATGCATAAGCAATTCTTCATTGTAATTATTAATTATAAGTGGTAGTTAAAGTTTATTGACTAATCAAATTTCAATTGTAATCACATCTTTTCGTACACATATTTTATCAATTTTTATCTAGCCCTTGTTTTATTCTCTTTGAAATTTTAATATATTTTTTCTCTTCTTTTTAACTATACATTTTTCAATAAAATAATATTACACATAAATAAATAAATAATTCCTTCTTTTTTAACTACACATTCTCTCAAAAACTACTATTGCAAAATACATTTCACCCAAATTTCTTATTATAATAGTTGTCAAACAGTTGCAAAGAACTTAATTGTTGCTAGACAATTAAAATGCAGGAAATAATAATATAAAATGATAAAATAAAATAATTGATAACGATGAATATTATCGTATAACGGTTTTTATTTTTTATTTTCGAATTGATGTAATATGGTATGACCAGGTTAAAACAATAATTGCATTTATTATAACAACAACAAAAATGGAAAAACTAATTAGGCAAAATAATCTTGAAATTCAATTCCCCTTAATCCATAAAACAATTAGGAAGTAGCCTCATATCCACGCCAAGTACCTTTCAATTCAAACTTGTCATGCCTCTATCGCATTTGCAAAAGTTAATACATTTATTGGACCAATTTTATATTCTCTCTCAATTTTTTTATTTTAAACATTAAACATTGGAGCGACGACAAGCAATTAGTTTATGCATCTCATCGAACAAATTCATATTTGGTGTTTGTTATATTGAAAAAGCCTAGGAATGGCAATCGGGCTCGTCGATTCGGGCCGCCACATTTTGGGGACACAGGCTTTGCCCGAACCAACCCGTGAACTCGCGAGCTTTTTAAAAATAAAAAAATAAAAAATAAAATTTGAGGCTGCCTTAAAAGGCAACAGCTTAGAAAAAAAGGGGAAGAAAACGAGCCTGCCTAGCTCGGCTCTAAAAAAGTCCGAGCAAGCAAAAAAGCTAGGCTATTTTAACCGGGCTGAGTCCGAGCCGAAACTTTAGGCTTGCGAGCCGACTCGACCCGGCTCGTTCACATCTCTAAAAAAGCCTCAAGTACAGGGAATTTTTTTATTGAATACATACATATTTCGACGTAGCGAAACCTAATTCGCCTTTTTACTGTTTTTTTCCATCTTCCAATGATTTTAAGTCATGTATTGTTTGTCAAAATTTTCTATTAAAATTTTCTGTACCTACGACACTATTGTTGGTATATTGATAAGACCAAATATAGCTTCTTCTTTTTTCCGAGTTAATATATATTGCATATTTGGTGACTGAAGAGTTGAAATTTTGATAATTATACTTTTCGGTTGTGTAATATTGTCATTTTTTTGTCTTCTTTACAAAAGAAACGTTTTTAGCCCTTGTTTGAGCCTCATTCTTCTAAAAAATATATATTCTTAAATAGTATTTTAACATCATTTCAATTACACATTTTTCAGAATATTATATGCAAATTCAAAATATTTTCTTATTTTTTAATTTCACATTTTTCATCAATATATTATTCAAAAATTCATTCTTATAAAAAGAATGGGGGTTCAAACAAGGGCTTATTTTCAAATTTTGAAAATGAAATTAGTTCATGGAAATTAAAATATGATTTTTAGTGGGTTTTGATAAAGAATGATGAAATGTGTAGTTGAAAAATTATGAATCTAAATATATTGTTAGAATTAATTGTTCACTTAGATTTAAATTAAAATCAGAATTTTAGATATGCATTTTTCAATAACGTCATTTTCTTTTGTACATAAAATAATAAAAATATTGTAGTTTTCGGCAATAGTCATAACCGTTGGTTGAACTGATGCATCAAAGTGAAAAGTGAGAAAGAAGAAGAGGCAATTCACAGAGAATACCATCTTTCCACCTTACGACCTTGCCTTTTCTTCGAAGTCTCGTCACATAGTAAGCATCTTTATTTTTTTTCCTTTCAATTTCGTCCCGAGAATAATTTTTATTTTAAGTTTTTACTTTTTTCTAATAGTTTGAAGACTGATTTTTAGCAATTCTGTTACTAATATAAAGTCATTTAAAAAAAAAAAGGAAAAACAGAGAGTCTGCAAGTGCGTTTCTGGATTCCTAACTCATATTGTTGACAGCCCAGGTGAGGAAAATTGGTTAATTTATTTTTTAAATTTGCTGAATTATTACGATGAATCTATCGATCATGTTATTATATTTGTACAGTTTATATTTTGATATTAAAGATTGTGTTATTTGATTATTTGTTTCGACACTTGCAAGATCTGTGCTTTTGGATTTTGATCTGTATTGTGTCGTATTTTTTCATTTTCCTGGACCGCAATGAAAACGGTTGAGTTATATGGGGTTTCGGCTTATTTTATTTTATTTTAATTTTTATTTTCACCTTTTTCCTTGTTGCCCCGGGTGGGGGGGGGGGGTTGGAGGTTGATAATTTAAGGATTATGCTCTGTTCTGTTCTGTTTGATTAAGAATTGTTTGTTAAACTATCGTCTTTTTTTAATCGAAACTGGTTTGATGTAAGACTAAAAAATGATGTTTATGTTGGTTTTAAATGTAGGTTTATGCGTGTTTAATACTTGAATTCAACAAAGATGAGCGGGTGCGATGAAACAGAAGAAGATCAATTCTTTGATAGCCACGATGAGATCACTTCTATGTCCGATTTGGGTTCTGAATGCTCTGAGTTCTGCTCGAGTTTAGGATACAAGGTTTGGACCGAGAAACCAGAAAGTGTTGATGAGCGACGCAATAAGTTTTTGAGAAGGACAGGTTTGAGTTTAGATTGGCGCACTACGGAAGGAAATAAAGAGGAGTGCTTTTGTAGTGATGAAGTTATATCCAGCTGTGAGAGATTAACAGATAATGATGAAACGGTGCTGGAAAATTTGGAATCCAAACAACAGCTTTCCTCTAGTTGTTCATCGTATACTTTTCACTCAGATGAATCAATGGAATTCATAGAAGGTGGTGCAATGGAGAATTTAGTGTGGAAAATAAGAAATTTGGATGATGGAACTGAATTCGTTGTGGATGGGATGGATCGGGATGGTATGCTCACTAGACTACGGAAAGTGGGTTCAGGTAAAATAGTTTCACTCGAAGAGTTCGTAAGAACACTTGGCTCGTCGTCTTGGGTTCAACGGTTACTGCGTAAAGAATCAAAGGGAATGAACGTGGTTGATACGAAGAAGAAAGTAAACAGTGGTTGGCTTGGGAAATTGAGTCGCTTGACACGTAATGCAGATTGGACAAAGGGAGTTCATTTCAGGCCCAATGGGATCGGTTCAAAGACAGAGACTAGAACCCAAAGTGTTCAGGTTCATGCATGCAAAAAACGTTCAAAAGAATTGTCCTCGCTTTGTACAGGGCAAGAATTTTCTGCACACGAGGGCTCAATCTTGACAATGAAGTTCAGTCCTGATGGGCAATACCTGGCTAGTGCTGGAGAAGATGGAGTTGTACGTGTGTGGAAGGTGCTTGAGGATGAGAGTCCAAAGAAATTTAATTTTCAAAATACGGATCCGTCTTGTTTATACTTTTCATTCAATCGTTTTTCTGAGTTTGCTCCACTTGATGTTGATAAAGAGAAGGCTGCCCCGATAAAAAGTATGAGAAAATCATCAGACTCGGCTTGTGTTATTCTTCCCCCTAAGGTTTTTCAGTTATTGGAGAAGCCTTTACATGAGTTCCATGGGCATAGCGGTGAGGTATTGGCACTATCATGGTCTAAGAATGGGGTTAGCATCCGTCACTCTCTTGGTTCTGATGATATTAGGTTACCCTAAATTTGCCATAATCTTTAAGACTTCATAGAAAAGCCAATGCCTTGTGGAGTTAATGGTACTTAATACTTTTTCTCTTTTGCAGCATTTGCTGTCATCTTCAGTTGATAAAACAGCTCGCTTATGGAAATTGGGGCATGATCAATGCCAAGGAATTTATTCACATAATAATTATGGTAAGCCTTTGATGGCTTGGTTGTGTTACTTAGAGCATGTTTGGCTAGGCCTAAAAAATTAAAAGTTGTGTTGCCAACATGCTTAGATGTGTTACTTTTTGTTACTTCTAAGTAAAAGAAGTTACTTATCTACTTATAATTGAATTTTTAAGCTTAGCAAAACATGCTCTAAATGTACATTTAAATTTTTGCAATTTGTCATAGACTTATAACACGTTAATGTTTCTATTACTCCACAGTGACCTGTATTGAGTTCAATCCCATGGATGATAATTATTTCATAAGTGGCTCAATAGATGGGAAAATACGCATCTGGGAAGTCCAAGGTTGTCGAGTCAGCGATTGGACTGATATTAGAGAAATAGTGACTGCTGTGTGTTATCGTCCTGATGGCAAGGTTAGTCGGCATTTATTTCTAGCTTTCTGTAAGGTTTATTTAGCATGTGGCATATTTCTTTATATATCTTATTTCTTATGCTACAGAGAGGTGCTGTTGGCACAATGGATGGCAATTGTCGTTTTTATGACATCGTTGGTATGTATTAACTTTCTCGATGGTTTATTGACCTTATTTCTTTTACATAACAATATATTCTGAATTCTCTGTGTATAAGTATTAAAATAAAAAATAATATGTCATGACTGAAAATGGTCGTTTACAGGATGCATGTTTTGTGATCTCCGGGGTGCACTCATCTATGAGCGATAATCATCTATTGTTTTAGTTCCATTAAGCACTTGACTCTGGGGATTGCCTTCTCTGAAATTTGTTGCCCATCAGAAAGTACAATTAAGCTAATTGTACAACTCGTGGACAACCACTGTTGACAAAATCTGGGTCGTTGATCTAAAAAAACAGTTTTTAAAATGGATGAATGTTAGCATGATTCTAGAAAATATGCTTTTGTTGTTAAATATTTGCGAAACTTTATCCCCTATTTGGCTCATTTTCTATAATTTATCTTTTGTAAACTCATTTTTAACTACACATTTTTCCAATAAAATAATTTTGCCCTTGAACCCATGATTTTTTCATAATTTTTAATCACATATGCTCCAAAAAAATCAATTTTCACAAAATCTATTCTCAAAAAATATCGACTAAACAGGGGCTTAAACTAATCAACTATTTGGCAGAAAATACTGTTCATACAATGTGCAAGATTTTAGTCTCTTATTTTTTATTTTTTTCCCTTCAGATTGTCTAATTCTGTTCAATGGACCCCTCTAGCACTAAACATATGATAAGAGTTGATATTAATGTGGCGTAACCTCTTTGGCTTAGATAATTGTTTGCAATTGGATTCTCAAATATGCGTGAACGGGAAGAAGAAGTTGACTGGGAAGAGGATAACTGGACTTCAGGTAACTATTTTAAACTTTATTGTAGTTTTCATTTTTCTTTTTATATTTTACATCTTCATGCACCTAAAAATTGTGTTTTTATTCATCTTTTAAGTTTTGCCCGAATGATGTTAACAAAGTAATGGTCACGTCCGCTGATTCACAAGTTCAAATACTTCGTGGGACTGATATAGTCTGCAAATTCAAAGGTGTTGATTAATTTCTTTGCTTCTGGATACGTGATTTGTTTTTCCCCTCCATTTACTAGACTATTTGGAACTGGTGTTCTTTTTGTCATTTGCTCAAATTTCTTCCTTTGCTACCTCTAGGCAATCGAAGTTCGGGAAGCCAAGCAACTGCATCTTTCACGTCAGACGGGCAACACATTGTCTCAGCCACCGAGGACTCAAATGTCTGTGTCTGGAGCTATACTGCCGAGGACCAGAAATCAACTCAACCGAAGAATGTACGATCGCGTGAGAGTTTTTTCTCACGCAATGCGTCCATTGCTATACCTTGGGGTGGCTTGAAAACCAAGCTCGGGGCACTACCAGGAAGTATTTTAGGAAGCGTAAATTTCGATGAGAATTTGCTCCATAAACTGCCTGCGTCTTTCCCCGACTTTTTCACAATGAGTCGTGGGTTTTTCTTGGATTCTAAGGGATCTGCAACATGGCCGGAGGAGAAACTCCCCAATTCAAGTCCGGTCCCTGTTTCCCCTTCCCTATGTAGATCCGAATTCAAGTTTCTAAAGAGTGCTTGGCAGAACGCGTTGCATTCTCCTCATTTGTGGGGTCTCGTGATCGTTACTGCAGGCTGGGACGGATGTATCAGAACATTTCTCAATTATGGGTTACCCATTCGATTTTGAAACACGGGTTTGTCTTTGCTTGATCCGAGTTGGACCACTGAATGTTTGAGGAAACAGGGTTTGCTGATATTGTCCCCTTTATGACAAGAATTTTTTCTGTAATTGATTTGATGTCTTAAAATTCTTTGATTTTTTAACAGACATTTGCATAGCCTACATGTGAAAATTGTATGAGGGATCATGTGATTATGGTCTCATTTGGTTTTTTAGTAGAATCTGAATTTGTATAAATGTTCTCTTTGGAGTAATATTTTTATTTTTACTTATTTTAAACTCTCCTCAAAACATTTCTTCATATCTAACTAATCAGATTTTCGAACGAAAAGAATATAAGAAAGTGATTTCTGTAGTTTCGCTATGTAAGGATTTATTGTGTTTGTATAAATAAAGAGAGGAGGGAGAGAAACGTAACGAGTTGACCAATTTGCTCTAAGAACAGGCATCAATGAGAATTCATTACATTAGATCGAAAAATCTTGGAGTTCTCAAGTAAATGAACCATGTAATAGTCAAGAACATTGTCGGATGACAAACTAGGCAGAGCACTATTGGTGCATTGCTAGCAATTGAATTTGCTGTTGGAAATTGATCAAATTATAACAATTGAATAATTTAGCCTCTGTTTGTCAACTATTTTACCATATTATTTTTTCTACGCAGTACTCATTTTCAACCACATATTCTTCATTAAAATAATATTACGCATAAATTAAAAAATTTTCTTTCTTTTTTAACCACACATTTCAACATCAATCACTATTCCATAATACACTTTTTGAAATTAACGCCTTGTTTGACACTCATATTTGAAAATTTAAAGAATTTTGAATAATATCTTTTGAGAATACGTGATTAAAAAATAAGAAAATTTTATTGGTTTGTGTGCAGAATAATTTAGTATGTGAATATGTGATGGAGAATGATATTATAACAATCAATTTAAATTTTTAAAGTTGGTCAATCAAGGGCTAAAGGGGCACAGACAGGCCCAATGTTTGCACATATTTCTTGAAACAATTATTGATGAAGTACTGGGCACTAATGGAAAAAAAAAAAAAAGGAGAAGCAATAATGAAAACAATTCATTATTGTTATCATATTCTTCTACCTATCGAAGAATTATTGACTCGAGTTATTATTAATGAATGTACTGTATTTCACCTTTACAAGATTAACATAACAAGCACATTGTAAATTTTAACCAAGTGCGTACCGAAGTGTCCATCTATAAATTTTAATCAAGTGTGTACTGGAATATCAATTATTGACGTACCTTATCTAGCTGTCTAATTAATGTTTGAAAATGTAGATAGGCGTTAAGTAATTTGGAGCCTTAGGCAAAATCTTTTGGAGGGACCTTTTCATGAATAATAAGGTTTTTTGTAAGAAAAATATATACTATTTATATCTATGAGAATAATATATTGTTTCTCTAAAATAAAAATAATAGCAAGAAGAACGAAAGGGTCATATTCATTCATCCTAATTGTATATGAAAATCATAAATTCTTAATTTACAATATAGAGTGAAAAGTTTGTTTATAATGCTTTTTTTTTTACTTTTAAAGAACAATGTGTATTTTGGACATGGTGACAAATAAAATTCAAAGTTGCACTTATTGGAATGTCTATGTTCTTTGCATTAGGTTGAAATAAATATATAATAATTAGTCAGAATCTTTTCATTTTATAATTATTTATTCGGAGGGTAAATCTTCTAGAAAATTTATTATTTTAGTTTGACTTCTATGGGGTTTGGCTTATTATTTTTCAAAGTATTATTTATTAGTAAAAATAGTGAAAAATAGAAATATTACACTTTAAAATGTCTACGTAATTTATTTATAAATTCTTTTAATTTTTTTACTACGGAAAATGTCATAAAGGACCTCGATGCTACAAAATTGTATTGAGGAAAGACATTGTCCAAAAAAGAAAATAAGGACCACATACGTAATGCAAACTTGACATTTGTAAAAAAATTTGAAATTAGTTAATCAAATTAATGTCATGCCAATCAAATTGACATTTGCGTCTTGCAATAACGAGGTATGTAGCATGAACTTGAATTGAATTTCGATAGTGAAATCGATATTTGATCAAAAGTCTTGCCAGCTCATTGCTTAGATTCAACATTTGACCTTCACACAAGACATATGCAGAACTTGGGATTTAACCTCTCGTATTCAATGTTTGGGTTGCAAACTTGAAGTATACAAATCTCGATCTTTAGGTTTTAATACTTGACACTTTGAATGAGTACTCGAGATATGATGGAACTTGTATTTAGACATGAAAAATGCCTAGATATATACCTTCCAATTCAAGGTTTGTCTTGCTAATTTGACATTTATAAAACTTGATATTTTGTTTCTTCAACTCGACATTTTGATAGGGGCACTCAAAAAATTTACAAAACTCGACATTTGACCGCTGAAAGATCTTCAACATTGAAATGTGGCCAAGAAACTCGGAACTCAAGATTTAGATTGTAATACTTGTATTTTCTACGTACTAGAAATTTAAAAAGCTCGAAATTTGGCCACTAAGACTCAATCCAACACGTTATCATATATGTTGTTCACAAATTACCGAACCCATTACATAAATCAAAATTTCTCATGTTGATACAATGTTAGATAAAAGCAACAAACGAACTATAAATTGCCCCCAGGGCATATCTTCCAGTGGCAAAGGGGAGGGCGGATAGGGCTCAGCGCGGCAGTGTGCAGAGTTCGATTCCCCGCAAGGTGGAATTGACTTTGTTGCAAGCGGGAGTTACCATATGAGTTAACAGCCTTGGCCTATCCATGTGCTCTCCACCCTGACTCTTGGGAGGCACATCCTGCGATTTACCTCCTCCACGATGGTCCAGGGCAGGGTCGGTGGGGGCCCTTAAGGTTGGGGTTCAACCTTTAACAAACGAACTATAAATTATATTCTAAACAAAAGATGAAATCACTTTCCATTATAGTGTAAGCTTCTAATATGAATATTTGGACTTGAAATTAGAAACTTTCTTTAAACATAGATTCGTCTTCAGTGCAATAATCTCGTTTGATTTGCTAAATCTCCCTTTTTTAAAATGTATTTATGAGATACCTAATATCCATTGTGTAAATCATGTTTTACTTTCAAATCTTGCAACACCAGTCTAGCGTACTGAAAAATCTCGACCACAAACAAAATTTTGTCATTTTTAAAGAAAGGGCATTTCTGTAATTGCACCTCAACAAATGACCACATTTGCAAACACTTTCCAAGATAGAGACATTTCAAGTCTACCATTCAAATTTGAATACAAATGCGCCCCCCCCCCCCCC